GAGGGTAACAAATTTACCTCCCCAGAAATATTATAATCATAAGGTAATAATTTTCATAAATTAATAAATATTCAAAAGCTAAATTTAAATGGTGATGGTAATTTTTTTTTAATTTTTTAAAAATTTACAAGAGATGACAAAAAAGAATAGGTATGAAAATAATTTTATTACAAAAAAAGGCATAGTATTTAAAGTTATCTTAAAGTTTACACAAGAAAAAAAAAAGTTTATATTGCTGTGGTGAATGGCTACACAAAATCTACTTGTCATAAAACTTTTCTTCTACATGTTTTTTATAATAATAATTAAACACATCATGTATCCTCTCACATTACACTTTTATTAATTTTTTCATTTCATTTCCTTTTCTGCTTTTTGAAATAAATGCAAAAATAACGAGGGTAAAAATGACTGAAATAGTAGTTCTTTTATACGTTTGTAGATAAAAATAATAATAAATAGGAGTTAAAAAATATCTAAAAGACTAGCTTTTGAAAAAGAGCTGTTTAAGAAACAGTTAATATTTTTTTAGCGCAATGACGGTAATTTTTACCGCCCCCAAAAAGTGATACCCCATTATCACCGAGTACCTCAAGGCATTGTAGCGCATAACTCAAACGATGGTATACTGTCTTCAATTTCAAATGGATTTAACAACTTTATGAATCTGTTTGGATGAGTTTAACTATAGCTCAGTGATAGTCAAATAGATTTAGATAAAATTATTTATTTTAGAAAGTATGAAATTTAAATATAGCAATAGATGGTAGACATCAATTTAGATGTGTACCTATATTTTACTATGTATGTTTAAAAATAAAATGCAATAACTGACTATTATTATTGTTATAGAATGTTATAAACCACACAAATATTGTTACTGCTGATATGTGTATGCTTGCTGTAGATGATAGTATTAGCAATATAATTACAAAGAAAGTTATTACTATGAATATTTATGATATTTGCCTCAATGTGGAAATCTCTTTATCCATTTAAGTACCTTATAAATCTAATTCAAGTTAAATTTTGCTACCTATTTATCTATTTTACGATAATTTTTTATTCATTGTATCCTAATAGGTATATATCATAAAGTAATTATTTTTTATTTAAATGTAAAGTTTTGTTATAAATATACCTAAATTATTTTTTGTAATATTTCCAGTGTTTATGTTAGAAACTGAAAAAGGTAAAGACTGATTTCCATTCTTGATCTTGGTAATTGTTTGTGATAATGCATGGATCAGGTTTAAAACATGTTATTTTTGTAAAGTATGTTAACTGTTAAATAGTTGAGAAATAAAAGTTCTAAAAAGTTCATATAAATTTTCATTAATTAAAAATTTAGGTAACGCACATATTTAAGAAAAACACTGGTGCCCCTCAGTCATAATTTTTCAACAAAATGAAATTTTCAATGCGATTTAAGTTAATAGAATGAAAAGTTCATTTTATTGGCACAGTTGCATTATTTTCGATATAACCGTCGAATGTCTATGTATATATATGTATATAACGTAGACAAATAGCAAAATCAGGCTATTTATAAAACGCCGTGGTAGTTACTGCAATAAGTAGCAAAATTTTCATTATGGCTGATGTATGTATACGTTTTGTCATATGCCTGGGCGTTTTACAAAATGCGGGTAGGGACTGCCCAATTTTGCTATTTGCCTAGGACATAATTGCTGCTTCAAGTTTTTATTGTATAATTAAAATACTGGGGGACCGTTTCTACCCAAATGGTACTTACTTTCTTCTTATTAATTCTTAAAAAAAATATTTAATGAAATTAGAAAAAGAATAAAGAAGGGGCACTCTTCATTATTGTTGTTGTGTACTCGAAAAAACTACCCGTCCAATCTTGTACATCAGTTCGGACGTAGTGAAAATGCAGCACTTCAACAACAAGACAAATTTATTTCACAATTAACAAAAATATTATTAGTAAAAGTAAAGGTCTGAGTCAATCAACTGCCGATTTAAGACTACTATTTTTTTCTGAACACCGCAACAGCGTTTGGTACATATAATATTGAAGACATAACAAAGCTAATTTTATAAACAGTANTTCAATTCGTAGTTAATGTTGTAGAAAACCAAAAACCAACTGGGACATTAAAATTTTTATTATATAAAAAATACATTAGTGAATAATTAATTACAGTTTAAGAATCTCTAGGTGGGCCAATTTCTTTGACTTCTTGAAATGCAGATACAAAAGCAGTAAGTTGAATATTTTCGCTGGCCCCACTTGAAAGTCTCATTTCAATTTCAGCCAATTCATTCAATAAGTTGAGCATAACTTCCTGTGGAAACTCAACTAAAACATAAACCTTTCCATTGGCAAAAAAATAACACTATTTTTAATTTAACTTACTCCTCTGCACGTATTTGTGAACTTCTGTAAGAATATCATTGAGAGCTAACCCCTTGACAACTTGAAGTTTTTTAATATTATTGTAGGTTGTTCTAAAGTTTTCGTTTAATGACCAGGCTACTATATTTTCAATATCCTTTTTCAATGGATGACCAACACATGTGTACACGTTGTTTTCAGTAACATTCTTAAAAGCTAGCCAAGTACTTTGCAAAACGTTTAAAACTTTTCTCATATCACCATTTGCTAATGTTAATAAAGCATTTTTGCCATCTTCAGTAACTTTTAAGCTAAACAAAAGAACAGAATAAGTGGTGTCTTAAATTGTCGTTAATGATGTGTAAAAAAATTACTTTTCTTGTTCGATGACGTAATCCAACCTAGGCAATATCTGTTCAGGCTTTAGAGGTGCAAATCGAAACCTGGTACATCTAGATTGCAAAGCTGGCATTATTTTACTCAAGTAATTGCAAATAATACAAAATCGGACATTTTCAGTATATTTTTCAATTACTAAAAAAAGAAACAAAATAAAAATGCCTCATTGTAATAAAGTTGACTTTTCTTAATTAAGATTTAAATGGAATCACCTTGTATACATATATTAAGGTAACAATTCTTAACTTTTATACTCGTAGTTCAAAGAAAGAAGATAAAAAACAAGATAAAGTTTACAATTTCCGATTTAAAAAGTATGCAGACAGTATGTAACAAAATATCTTTTAGGAAACAAATACAGTTGAGAGAAAATAATAATACCTACAGTATTATAACATGTACACGTGCATATTTTCAATAAAGGTCGGATTACATAATAAAACACCTGGAAATAAAAAATGTTCTTCCTTTATCAAAGATTTTGGAAATTTAAAAGTTTCGGAAAAATAAAATAAATATGATGAATAATTTTATTTTGGTACCATAATCATTGGAAATAAAAATAGATAAAATTTGAATAATCAATCAAAAACTATTAAATCTTCACCTCACATTTGGGCCCTACTTTAAAATATTTTTAAGCAAATTTCATTTAAAATAAATATGAGGCAGCTCGTTCCTAAACTGTGCTAAATTTCAAATTCATATCATTATTACTGATTGTTTATGGTGAGATAGGTAACCAACTGTGATGTACAGACACGGAGATCTCATAATAAGGGTTCCTTTGAACTTTTTGTGATACGGAACCTTAGAAGTAAACAGCTACAAAGTAACAAATACATCTAATGGAAGGCATTGGCAAACTACTCGAGTATCATACCTAATATAATACTGCTATGAATATCGTATGAATGTATATCAGGAATTAGGAATACATACGTAAAACATTTTTTGGATATCTTTTTAAAAAATTTTTTATTAATACGATAAAACAAGCATTCAAAAATTACAAAAATGATTGTTTAATACTATGTTTGTTATTGTAAAAGGCAGACAGGTGACTGCAAACGTCTGGTTGTTTTTGCAGAAGATGATTGCGATTTCTTTCTCTTATCTTTTTGGCAATGAGACACGACTGCACTTGGACTTTTCAGGGAAGAAGATTGCTGAGAGACACCAGTAGGTAAAGGTAAACCTAAATGCTTATACACCAGCTCCAAGATGCTGGAAAACACCTACAAAGCTCATAAAGTTATTTATTTAAAACAAAATATTTCAACATCTCACTTTTTCTCCCGTTCTTGCAGAAACAAGGAAATTTTGGACTTTATGTTCTTGTACAAAATCCCTTGTTTTATCTAATCTCACTGCCCTTTGATGTTCTAAATCACCTAAGAAGGTACAGTAATTACAGTTAAGTACTATTCAAATTAATTAAAAGTAATAAATTCTTTACATTTATTTCCAAAAATTGCACTGATAGGTGGTGACTTTTTTAAATACTTATACAAAGTTGATATCCAATCGGACATAACATCAAAACTAGCCGAATTTGTAATGTCGTAAACTAATATAACTATCTAAAATAAATAAATAACAATCATTGAAATAGTGCCAAAAAGAAGCAAAATATTTTATAAGACTTACATCACATTTGAATAAATATTTGTCCAACATGGTACCACTTAATTCTTGACCACTTACATCAGTAATTTTTAAAACTGTATTCTGTAAGGAAGGCAGCACAACATGCTTTCTATAAAAATCAGCACCCGACGTGCCATTGTAATTTCTCGAAAATTCGTTAAAACAAAACCTTCTTATGATACTAGACTACAAATTATTGAAAAATTAATAATTAAAGTAATAATCTACATAAAAATATACGAAAAATGATATCGCAGTGTATACAAAGTGGGAGTCACAGGGGTCGAATTATACACCTCCCCCCACTCAAGCAGTAACATCACATGTTATGTGGAAAATGAAAACCTAACACTCACGACCACATCATATTACATCAAAATATTAGAAAACATAAGAATAGCAAAAAATAATATCAAGTTGTAATACTAAAAAAAAACATTCATACATTAAGTCACACCGCAAGGAGGGAAAGGGGGGATTAGGGTAACGTAAAGAAGTGTGATAATAAGGGAAGATTTAGAAAATATTCGTTCTTATGCTTTTTTGTGATTACTTTTATGTTTAAACAAATTTGGTAATTGAGTATTTAATTTGTTGCAAGATGACTTCAAAAATAAACCACTAACGAAAACATAAAAATGTCAGCATGACGTGATAGGGAAGGAAGGGAGTATAACAGCTGCATGACGAAGGGTTACTAGGGGTAGAAGTTCAAAAAAGTGGGACATGACGTAAATACATGAACGGTCCCTATAAGAATTACATGGTAAACGCCACCATGTATATTTTTAAATCATGGCAATAAATATTAACGACACCGTGTGTACGAAGCAAGATTTTAACAGATTTACCTTCCCTACAGTACTGTCTCCCACGAAAACTATTTTAATGTATTTTTCAGTAACTTCGTCATCGGATTCAGACATATTATTGTTACTGCTATTCCAAATTCATAACGACAATACAAACGTTGTTTAAAAATTCAGTCATGATTCCTGTTTGTTGAAAGTACAAAGGAGAAAATTTACGTGAGTGTTGAAATTCAAGAAGGACCTGCTGCTTCTAAAACGAAGAAAAAAAAAGAAATAATGGGGTGGATTGAGAACCCCTTCTTATATTTAACATATGTAGGTAAGTGTGTATTTCTCCTGTATATTAAGTTGGTTACGCATGATATATAAAAGGGAATAAAAATTCAAAAATATCAGTTTCTTTGAGGAAATGTACACCAACGTGTGTCTAGTTTTCGTCATTGTTCTCTGTTATTCTTTGGTTTTCGGTTGTCTGATAACCAACTGTCCAAGAGGTGGAAGAAAAAGAAATGGAAAAATGGAGGGCGATATACAACCTGTACGTACTTAAGTATATAGATTATGATACAATTACCTACACAGAACAACTATTAGAAGCAATCAATACCCTTTTATTAAAAAAAAAATATATTTTTTGATGTTCGGTGGCATATGGTACCTTTTTTCCCTGAGAAAAATTAAAGTGAAAAAATGATACATATAAATAAGGTCCGTTATTTAATTTTAGTGTACTTCTTGTGGTCCAGGATTAACAGGGCAATGCTTTGGCCCTAATATTTGTTGTGGTCAATTTGGATGTCTCATAGGAACCAGCGATTCACTTAAATGCAAGTACGAGGGCTTGTTCAACGGGCCAGAACCTTGCATAGCAGGAAACAGTTCTTGTAGATGGAAACATGGACGATGTGCAACTCAAGGAGTTTGTTGCAATCAAGGTAAATGTTTCACAAGTTTTTACTTGTTACTCAATGTACTAGATATTTCGCCTTACCAGGGCATCATCAGAAGGAAAGTTCTACTAAATAAAAATCTTACAAATGTAGGTACCCTAAATATTGAGTGAGCTGCATTGGGGCCCTTCAAGTTTTTTAGTGATTTTTCACCTTCCCTCCGCCCTTATAACGCACCATAAGGTTTAGTTTCACCACCTTCCCTTCTCTAAACGTTACGTAACTCTCATATGGTCATTTTTACCTAAAAATGTCACGCCAAATACCGGATAATCAGTAACTCTTTTTTTTTTTTTTAACAAAGACAATGCAAACTTTGTGCCCTCCATTCCTCCACCCATGTAACGTACCATCCCAACCACCCCAAACTGCGTTAGGTAATACTTGAACGGTCCCATAACGATTTAAGGCTTTAAGAGAGAATTGTTATAGTTGGTGATTGGTTGCAATTTTTTTTATAAGGTGTATATATATATATTTCAACATGATAGCACTCCACATAGGGATTTAATTTATTTTGTGGGCATTATCCTTAAGTAAATTATTTNTTATATACTAAAAAAGTGAAATCGTAGTCGATTAATTATGCAATTGCTTAACTACAAGCTAATCAACATTTAATAATAATACAGTGGCTATAAAACATTAATTTTTATCGCCGTTAGGAATTCTTTTTAACTTTTAATATATTTTTTTTTATTTCACAGAATCGTGTTTTATGGACAAATCTTGTACGTTTAACGACGATACAACTAAACTATTTAAAGCCAAAATATCACCCGATATATACGGAATTTTGCACAGAAACCTGGACTACAGTTTGGACAAATAAAAAGTTGGTACCTAATTGGATTACAACACAATAAAAAAATGCACATATGTAATTAAGTAAAATAATCAATAGATAGCAAACCTGAAAAAATGAATGTTCAGTTAGAAAAAAAAAATACACCTACACTGAACATTCAAAAAAAAATAATTTATAAATGTAAAACGTAAATAAAAATTTGGATGAAAAAAAAAAATTGACTTTCACTTACCTTTCATTTTGGAAGAAACACCAGAGTGTTAATTCGATTTTTGTAAAGTGATGTATGAAAACGCGTGTATATGTGTAACTTACGTTTTACTAAAATAAGAGTGCAATTAAGAAGTTGTCATTTTAGAGGCCTCTGTTACCATGGATCCTTTAACGCCTTAACACAAACACATAAATCAATTTGATTAATTTGCCGGACAATAATATATTTTACAGGAAAAGTTCAATAACACAAAAACATGAAAAGTAGCACCTTTTCCGCTACATCGGTTGATTTTAGATCCCCAACCCTCTACACATACAAGAAAATTGCAAGCTGAATAATAGGGCATAAAAAGTTTTTTTAATGCTTAAATTCATAAATCGTGGTAAAGCTTATAACGAGAACTTTCTAATAAGCTATTTCAATTGTCGAAGGTTGGGGGAGGAGGGAAGATATGAGGGGGTGAATATTCAACATATACATAAATAAGATGAATAATACATCATCATTAGCTTTCCAAAGATGTATGACTCATTTTTATATGATATGGAGCATGCCCTATACCAGAGGTTTATTTATCTGTTAAACATTCACTCCCTCATATCGTCCCCCTCCCATCTTCGACCATTGAGATGTAGCTCATTGGAAAGCTCTCATCATAAGCCTTCCAGCGATTTATTGGATATATTGAACTTGAGCTAGAATTTACGGGAAGTTTCCATAAATAAACAGGAATAATCTATGATTGCATAAATTAATGATCAGGCTTGATGCTACAAGAGAGCTGACTTAAATAACGCATGAACAAGAAGACCAAACAGTCAGCAAATGATTTGAATTTATCAATTCATTTATAGTTCTTATGTTGTTCGTCATCGGATTCAGACA